GTTCCCTCTCCATCCTGAACTCTTCTTTGGTCTCCTCCTCCGAGCCCAGCTTCCCTACACACACAGAGACAATATATAGAACAGTTAAAGGAGTAAAATATTTACCACTTCAGTGACTCAAAACCACAGACTATGACTCAATCTAAAGTGACGCATAGAGAAAGTGCTTCTGAAATATCTCATCAACTATTGACATTCATGTTCCTCTCAGGATGCACGTCAAACATTTTCTTTATGTAGGCTTTCATGTAAGAGGAAATTAGCATTGTCTTGATGTATTGATTTTATTTCAGCGCCTACCTTGAAAACAGCTAGCTATCAGCATTGATCAGTATTTACAGATACTGTTTATAACTCCACCTTCACAGAATCTGTCTATTGCCAAGTCCGTTTCACATGCAAGGAATGTGCTTGGTGAATATTGGAAGATACATTTGCACAGTCGGAGAAAAATGAAATGCACAAACAAGAGCTACTATTGAAAAAGAAGAAATGTATTAAAAACTATTATAAGATCTAAACATGTGTGCAAGAAACATAAATATACAACATTACAATAAGAATATGATAATGACTGTAAAGAAAATATGAACCGTCTATCTGGAATTAAAAGAGCTGTGCAGTGTTGGTGCTAGTAACGTACAGAAATGTGTAAAATTGTTAGCAAATAAACAGCAACAGATTTACGTGATTACAAATGTATCTAAAAATAAACATGTTGTAGTTATGGCACCGAACCCTCAGCATCATCACATGTCAGCAACTATTAGTGTGTGAAATGTCAAATAACAAAATAACAAATACAAGGAACTGAGGCGGAAATTACAGAAATAAGATCTAAATTATTGATGTTATTATTCTCACCTTCTTTCACTTCCTGGATGATGTCATCAGGCAAAGAGAAGCTCTTCTCTGTGTTTGGAAACGGCAAAATCTCCGACTCGTGCTGCATCACACACACACACACACACACACACACACACACACACACACACACACACACACACACACACACACACACACACACACACACACACACACACACACACACACACACACACACACACACACACACACACACACACACACACACACACACACACACACACACACACACACACACACACACACACACACACACACACACACACACACACACACACACACACACACACACACACACACACACACACACACACACACACACACACACACACACACACACACACACACACACACACACACACACACACACACACACACACACACACACACACACACACACACACACACACACACACCACACACACACACACACACACACACACACACACACACACACACACACACACACACACACACACACACACACACACACACACACACACACAGATTGTGAACACAGTCAGCTAATGCTCAACATTATACATCATGCTCTGTATGTGTATGCGTGTGTATGTGTATGCGTGTGTGTGTGTATGCGTGTGTGTGTGTCCTCACCAGAGCCTGCATGTCGTACATGGTTCCCAGATGATCCCAGATGACGGAGGAGGAGACCTGCCTCCCGATGTTCTGACTGAACTTATCTCTGATGCAGATCATGTGGAAGTGACGGTTCACTCCTGGAGAAAGAATCAAATAGTCAAAAGAGAAAAAAAAAGAAAGTTCAAAATCTGTGTACAAACGATACACTGACTGCATATACTAAACTTGTTATATATAGAACAGTTAAAGAGGGCTTTATATGGCTGAACAAGGGGTTAAAACATATCTGGACTGCAATGAGACGATCTAAATAGTACAAGAAGGAAAACTCTATTTACTTTCTCAGAATCAGAATACCTTTATTCGTCCCAGAGGGGACATTTAGAATTCAGTACATTGATGTTTCCAGCTTTTATACAAGACACCAATGTGCTTCACCATCTTACACTTATAGCACATTATTATACGCATCTTGTGAGCCTAAGCGACAAGTGCTACCAAATGATATTAAAACTATACTTTGAAGACAGTGCCTTATGATTATTAAAGGTTAGAAACTGTCATCAAACTATATATGTGACTTGAGCAGTGCATATTACAAAACAGAAATGCAATCGATAAAACTTCCACAAACTCATTTCCTGAGGGTCTAAGGGGGCTTTACCTTATACTTTTTACTATTACTCCACTACATTTGACAGCTTTTCAGATTATCATTCATCTAATTCCTGCCCAGTTAAAACCAAGCGTCTGAGTCTTTAAAAGCCTCTTGAATCAGCTGGAAAAGGCATCCTTGCAAAGCTGCAAACAGGGCTGTTTATCTGAGAAACTCATTAAAACGTGAGAAGTCACATGGTGGAACGTGTTTAGAGATATGTTGTTGTCTCTGTACAAAGCTCCAAATATATGATGATGTTATTGAATATGATGCATTGCTTCAGATTAAACTAGCCATGAGTATAACAAAGTTAAAATTAGGCTTAAACATATAGCAGTAAAATGCAATATACACAATAATGCAGCAGTAATATAAATCCAACAATGTGAATACTTTTATTTAAGAAAGGATGTGTGTGCAGAACTTGCAGTGGAGCGTTTCACTGTGTGTTAATGTACATACAGAAGTTCGTTGTAACTAAATACATATACTCAAGAACTGTACAATTTTGAGGTACTAGTACTTTAGTATTTCCATTTAATTATACTTCATACTTCTACTCCACTACATCTTATAGGGAAATAATGTCATTTTACTCAACTACATTTACTATTTTTAACAAAATACATCTCTACAAATATAACTAGTGGACTAACTCTTTAACTCAAATATTTTACAAAAAGTAAATCTGAACTTTGTCTTCAACAGTAAAATGTTACTTGATGCCACAATATTATCTAGACATGTCACAAATATTTTGCCAATTATTATTACTTTTGATACTTTAAGTACATTTTGATTATAATACTTTTGCACTTTTACTTAAGTAAGGTTTTGCACGCAGGACCTTTACTTGTAATGAAGTATGTTGACCTTAATGTGGTGGTACTTTTACTCAAGTAAAGCTTCGGAGTACTTCTTCCACCACTGTTTACATATGTCAACTTTACATATAATATCTAAAAACGTCTTCCAACCATGTCTGCTACACTGCTTATTGTAAAAAGAAATAAAAACAAGTAACACACTATAAACTGGAAAGTGTGTCGTAGTTCAAATGTTATTTTATACCATTAAGATGTGTGACGTTGTTGTTGTTGTTGTTTTTAAATGTAGCTGCGTGGTGTCTCAGATCTGGTTTAAATCAGATTAAACTAAATGATCTCCAAGAAAACATCTAACTTTAGTAAACAACAACATTTCCAGGACCATCCAGAGTCACTTTAGGGACTCAAAGTCTGTCCGTGACCCCCGGTTTGGGAAACACTGGTAAACTGGTAGAAGTGGACAGCCGTTTACGACCGTTAAAGCTAACATGCTAACATGCTAACACCGTCTCTTACCGACAGGTTTGTGTCCGATCATCGCGTGAAACAGACAGACCTCCACCTCGTGGCTCCACACCACCGAGTCGTCCCCGATGACCAGGCCCGAGTCTGGTGGCTTCTCGTCGGTCTGATTTAGGGTCACATCTGCCTCCCCCATTTTTAACTAAAAAGGGCTAAAAACAGGCAGAAAGAAGAAGCTAACCGAGCCACAGAAAGCTGCCGGCAGCCGGAAATACGAGACTACTTCCGGGGATTATTTTTTCAGAATAAATTGTCTACATCACATGTAATTTGACATTTCTATGTATTTAGGTAGATAACAAAGCCATGTTAAGGATAAAGGAATGCACGATATAATATTGTAATATTATAAGGAAATGTAGGAAATGTAGTATAATAGTCATTTATATACTATCCATGTTTCTGCTTCTGTAGTTTATGTCTATCTATCTGTTGGTGCAGTATGTTAGTCTGTTACCTTTTTTTATTGAGTATTCTTGCTACTAGTACGTGTGTTTCATACTGTAAACGTTATTTCGATCTCTGTCTGTACAAACACACAGAAAAAGGACATTACAGTTGACTTTGACTTTGAGATATATATTTATATGCTGTTATAATTTCTTATTTTATTGTATTATGTTTATACTTTTTTCCACTTTTCAAATATTGTAATGCCTCAACACAATGCAGACAGAACAACCTTGTTTTCCCCTAACCTACTAAATAATTAACTAAACAAAAACAAAGACATAAAGAAAGTAATAAAGGAATGTCCGATATATAGCAGCAGAAATAAATAATTATTGTCATTATTAATCAGTAGGCTACCAGTTGCAGTTGTAACAATTCTGAACTTATCTTCAGAATAAAAGCCAAAAGTCAAAAGGTCAACAGCACTATATCTTTCAGAAAATTAAATTCTGCTTATTAATAAACCAGCAGAGCTTTAAAAAGAAAAAAAAGCTAGAAAATACATAGCGTGGCTGTCATGTAATAAGATGGGACAGACCTTATTGGGTAATGTTTAGATAATTAACTCAATGTATTAGATAATCAACTCAACCTTTTTGTAATTATTGGCTGTGTGATCTACATTCCTATAACTTGTATTAATGTCAGGTGCCTAAAGAGGATCCTCAGCTTTATTTGTAACGTCGCGTCAACCCATTTTCACTATTTCTAAGGCCTTATGAAGGGTGTGGCGCAGTGGACTTGTGCATTGGTGTTCGGATCAGGGGAGCACAGGTTCAAACCCCACTGCAGTCAGCATGTCGTTGTGTCCCTGAGACACTTCACCCCAAATTGCTCCTGTGGGGATTGCCCACAGTGTTGAGTATCTAAGTCGCTTTGGATAAAAGCGTCTAACAAGTAACATGTAATGTAATGTAAGAGATGTCAGATCACAAGAATGCATTTTAGAATTGTTTAGTTCTGGTATACTGTTTGTGTAAAGTCTTGTTACTTTGTGTTAGAGTCATAATATACCTAGAAAGAGCTGCATCCAAAAAAAACACACTGACTCAGAGTGATGCTTCTCTATACGGTGATCAAAACACCAAAACGTTTATTGCAAATGAAATAGATATACAGTCAGGGCCGTAAAATGACTTCCTGCACAAATGCAACCAGAGAAAGAGAAATAAAAACAGAAAACATTTCAGGTGCATTACATTTAAAATTATGAGGGGCTACTGAACGTCACTGAGCTGAATGTGGGCATCATACTTCCATTTATTTTCCTGTTTTACATCGAAATACAAAAAACTGAGCATCTTTTTCATAAAGCAACAACATTGATAACATTGAGAATAATGATGGCGGCTGAACAGTCCAATCAGAGAAGCTTTTCTCAAGCATCCACAAACCCAGAGAGCTGCTCTACATTTTCAAAATGTGAGCAACACATGGTGTGTCCTAGAGGAGAGACATGTTTTCATTTAGAAAAAAACCCTCTAAATGAATAAAAAGTAATTAAAAAATAACTAATTTTAAAAAGTAAAAATTGAGTTTTCTGATGGTTAATATCTTGAAGAGAGTCAGAATAATTACATCTCAGTATTCTGACTATTCTCAAAAGTCTTCTGACAAAATTCAGAACTTTATTGTGAAATTCTGACTTAAAAAAAACAAAAGACTCAAAACCAATTAAAGAAAATAAATGTTAAGGTGTACAATGCATTTTGGGAAATGTTGTTCGCATTTCTTTTTGAAACATACACCGAATATTTAGGATCTCTCATGATTGGCTGGTTTAATTTGGAACATTCTTTTTTTAACTCGTCTATTGTGAGATAAAAAAATCTGACTATAAGCAATAGATTTGGACATTTTTGGCATCTTACAATTCAAATCACACAGCAGAGACACTTGAACATCTGTATGAAGACAGGTGTGTATGAGAATACATCTAAGGGGCAAACATCTGCACACTGTTGACTCTTTTGGTCAATTCATTCACTACTTTTTTCAGTCAAGCAATCTTTATCACATCCTACAAATGGTTTTTAACGAAATGTCAACTGTGCGATAACCATTTTTTGTAACTGATCAATCATTTATCGGCTTTCTAAAACAAGGTTGTAACAAAGAAGTTGGTATCATTGTAGAAAACATTTGATTATTGAATTAATGGCATTAATGGTTTGGACCAACAGTCCGTAAACCCAGATTATTTAGTTTACTTATCAAGAGTGAGAATGCTTGTGGGAAAAAAACACAAACGCTCCTGTCTCCTCGGCTCATTCAAACAGCCTATTGGACGAGGAAACAACAGGGCCCCGCCCCTCGCAGCCTCTCCACCAATAAGATCTGAGAATGAGGACCGTTAATATTCAGCAGAGGAGGTTCAGACTTCCTCCTCCTCCCTTTACTCCTCACATTCATCTCACAGGCCAGAACTTTAAGACTGAAAACAGATGTAAAAAATATTTGACTCAACTTTAGTTTAACCAGGCAGGTAAATTCTCACCTGTAGTAATGAAGTGAACTCTGAAGAAACCGAACTAATACACAAAAAAAAAGAGCCGAGTGATTTGTAGCTAAATGTAAGATCTAAATGAACAGCTCCATGAAGAGTGCATGATGTAAAACAATCCCACACTTCATGTAGAACAGTTACGGATTAAATAGAAATAACAGTGATTTTAAGCCAATTCATTTTCATTTAATCTTCACATCTTGTAGTATTTAAACATTCTGAAAACACTGACTGGAAGAAAAACAAGAAAAGGTCAATCTTAAAGACTACAGCTTGTAATGCTTGTTAAAAGCTACCAGTTGTTAAATTACTGAAGCTTCTAAAAAAATGAAATAAAAATGAAAATATACATTTGTGAGGTGTTTCAAAGATGTATGTTCTTACAGTGTTGGTTTAGATCTAAACATGAGATTTGATGACAAAAAAAAGTATTTCCTGTGATAAAAGTGTAAAAAAAGTTAAAAAAAGAACACTGTATCATACACAATGTCTGACCTCTGACTGAATATGACTTACTGCTTGAAATGGTCACCGCAGATTTAAATTTGAGGACATTTTAGCGCCACATGCCTGATGATAAGCAGGATTCATTTCCTTACATGCATCTGGTACAGTCAGTTTAAAGGTCAGGTGGATGTACAGTACAGCTTTGACAACATGAGCAACTCACTGTATACAATCAGAAACAAAATGCTACCCATCTTAAAATTCTGGCCTTTAACAAAAAAAAAACACAATAAAACAAAACGGGAAACACAGATGTGAGGAAGCAGAAGGCAGAATGAGCGGCGACCCGGCGCCGAATTAAACCAGAGAAGAGAAGAGACCCAGAGACAAAGAACCACCGCGGGACGATCGACAGGAAATCAGGAGTTTGAGAAGTGACATGGTGGAATATTCAAGCTCAGGTACCTTATTCAAAAGAATAAGAATCGTGGCTCTTTGTTTGAGGCTTTGAAACAAAAGACAGAAGCACTTGTTTGACCGTGGGATTTTCCCACTTTTGAGGCGGCATTATACGCTCTTTCAAACAGTGGAAGTTTACTGGTTTCCTGGTCTGAGCCAACGAGCTGCAAACACACAAGCGGATCAGATCTGGTGACGCTGCGTCTGCTTTCACATGCATATTATTAAACGTACATTAAAACACTCGTGTGTGTGTGTGTGTGTGTTTTTGGGGGGAAAGCCGCAGAGGATGTGTGTGTTCCCTGTGTGCGTGCAGCTGAGAGACAGACAGAGGAAACATGGCAGGCACAGAGTCTGAGCTGTCGCAACGAAACAACCTTTAAATTACAAACACCACCGTCGCTCGCACGACAGCAGCCGTTACCACGGAGACCAGACACGAACAACGCTGGCTACGTGAGAGCCCCCTGTTGAGATCCCTGCCCGGCGACAAACAGGAAGCTGGAGAAGCGGGAGGGGGAGGGGCTTCGTTGAAATGTGGCGTCAGCAGGCTGGATGAGAAGTGTTTGAGGAGGGCGGGTGGTGGGTGGGGGGGGGGGGGGAAGCGATGGATGCTATTGGTCCTTCTTCTCTGTTTCGTCGTCTTCTTTAGCCTCTGTGTCCTCGGGAACGGTCTCCTCATAACTGTACAGAAGACAGAGGAACACAGCTCAGAGTAAAGTCATCCATATGGGCCTGACCTGTAATAACAGCACCCAGGATATCTCATCCTTATCTTGTTTTACTAACACTAAAAAACTAAATCACGCTAAAAAGGCAACACAACAGTGGGGATTGAATCTGAGTCAACACAGAGTTCACTTATGGAGCCGTCAGCATGTTGGCTGCACAATTAATTGCAAATATATTAACACGGTAATATGGACTAGCGCAATATGCAAGTTGCAGTAAAACGCAATATTTGGTAACATTAAATATCGTGAAGCTGAAGTCCCAGCCTACAAATGGTATTCTAGGGACTTTACAAAAAGATGACCTTGTTTGGTTTATATGGAAGAGGATTAGGGACACATTTTTATATATTTTTTATTTTTTAGATCCGACCACAAGTAAACTAAATGTTTGAGTTTTGAGAATAAAGTCAGAATTATTTTTTCTCAGAATCCTGAATTAAATGAAAACAATAATACTTTAAGAATTAACTTGCATACCCTAATTCAAACATATAATTGACATTGTTGTACCCTTTAATATTAACTAACTTATTGGTGATACAATACAGTACATCAGAGGAATAAACAAATAAAACAAATGATCTGTAACTGAAAATGTATTATTTAAAACATATTTTTGCATAAATTAAAACTATTTAACAATAACTTCAAAGCTGATATTGATATAATATTGTCCTTATTGAATAATGGAGTGATGGTCTGCAGTTAAAGAGCGATAGACAGACGGATGGATTGATGGCAGCGCTCGTTATAATCCTGTTTACCTGCCCAGGTGAGACAGGAAGGGGAGGGGAGAGTAAAAAGAGAAGGGGGCGGGGCCTCTACATGGAGTTGGGCTGTAACCGGCGGCGACGAGGGGAGGAGTGTGTCAGCATAGAGACAGCGTCCATGGAGCTAGCCAGGCTGGCAGGGGAGCCGCTGACGGTCGGGAAGGAGGTGAGGCGGGGGGAGGCAGGGAGGACCTCCTCTGAAGACTCAAAGCTAACCAGGGGGGAGGAGAGGAGAGGGGAGGATGGGAGAGGAGAGGAGAGGAGAGGATGGGAGAGGAGAAGAGAGGAGAGGATGGGAGGGGAGAGGAGAGGAGAAGAGAGGAGAGGAGAGGATGGGAGAGGAGGAGAGGATGGGAGAGGAGAGGATGGGAGGAGAGGATGGGAGAGGAGAGGATGGGAGAGGATGGGAGAGGATGGGGAGAGGATGGGAGAGGAGAGGATGGGAGAGGATGGGAGAGGAGAGGAGGAGAGGGGAGGATGGGAGAGGAGAGGATGGGAGAGGAGAGGATGGGAGAGGAGAGGAGAGGATGGGAGAGGAGAGGAGAGGATGGGAGAGGAGAGGAGAGGAGAGGATGGGAGAGGAGAGGAGAGGAGAGGATGGGAGAGGAGAGGATGGGAGAGGAGAGGATGGGAGAGGAGAGGATGGGAGAGGAGAAGAGAGACATGGCGGAGAAAATAAGAATGACAAATATAGGTGGTAAAAAGAGGATAAGACAAGAAAGAAAAATAGTAAAAAAATATATAAAAGAAAAGAAAGGTAAAGAAAGGTGAAAAGGGGGAGGAGAGAAAGAGAAAGAAAGAGAGAATGTGGTAAGTCTTTTTATCTTAGTTAAAGTTAATTACAACTACTATTTGTATCTGAGAAATGTGAGTGATGGAGGATAAAGTAGAGGACAAGAGAAGGGGAAAGGAGGAGAACGAGGAGAGGAGGGAGTGAGGAAGCAGAGAAGATGAAGAGATCAAAAAGGAAAGAGTAGAAAGGGAGCCGAGGAGGACGAGGAGGGACTGGACGAGGATTTGGGAAATTAAATCAGGCTAGAGATGAGCTGTCACTCAAAGATGAAGACAGACAGCTTTATGATCTACTGTCTGAACTTGGCAAGCTCCGAAACATGGAATGATGCAACGCTTCATAGGTTTATTTTCGGAAGGGAGAGATTTTGCAAAAATGTCATTCTGTATTTTGATAGTTTTAGTTATTTAGGCATTTCAGTTTATTTTATTTTTTAATGAGGATTCAAAAAGGTTTCACTCCAACCAGCTTTGAGATTTGAACACAGTTATAGATGTAAATAGGCGCTTTCACACCGCAGTACTTTTCCCACTTTAGTTCCGAAATGTCGCGTTCACACCAAAAAGAGCCGGAACAAAAATTAGTTAATGAGAACCTTTTTACCCCCTTTCCGTCAGTTTCCCGTCCCTGCTAGAGAGCAGGGACTTTCGTGGGAGAAAAAGGTTCCTATGTCTGATTGGCTGGGCGGATTGCAAACCACGCCCCGTAAAACTCCCAAAAAGTTTTGTGAAGCCGCCATTTTATTATCCTCGCATTAGCATTATTAGCATTAGCATTAGCCCAGCACAGAAACGCAGAGAGACTAACTTATGGCAACACAAAAGAAAACATGGGAGCGGTGGAGATGAGGAGGTGTCGGCGTTCTGGCGATTTACTCGGAAGGCTTCAGTAGAAGCTGCTGGGAGTCCCAGCAGCTTCTACTGAAGCCAGTCCTCAACTCCGGGGACTTCCGGCCGGGGACTCCGGGTGGCAGTATACGCCGTGAAGTTGTTTGCTGCCTGCCAGTAAACCCAAACCAGAAGAAGAAGAAGTGACGTCAGCGGCTTCATTTGCCTAATCCTCCCTCAGGGACTTATTCCGGTGTGAACGCGATCTGTACTTAGTTCATGAGAACTAAAGAGTTCTCATGAACTAAGTTCTGATGAACCTTTGTGGGAAAAGTACTGCGGTGTGAAAGCGCCTAATGTTTTAGAACTTAAACCAAGAAATGCAAACGCCTACATTTTTTGATATTTTAGGACATGTTTACCATCATCAGATAATATGAACAACGGTACAAACAAAGTTTAGACTAAATACCCAGTTATTATATGTATGATGTCCTTTATTGTTTTATGTTTCATGTGGAACCTATATGCTGCAGGTCTCCCTTGAAAAAGAGATATATGATCTCAATGGGACCAATCTGGTTAAATAAAGGTTTGAAATGAAATGAAAAATTCCGCTAACCTGTTATATAGCACAATGAACTGCTGTGGGGTTTATGTACCAATGGCTTCAGTCTAATCTCTTTGAATCAGTCTCAGCACGATTCAAACGTCTCCCAAACTGAATCAGTGAGACTGATCTCCTACAAACATCAAATGACCACCCTGGATATGTGGTTGCCACGGTAACTCACCTGAACAACTCCGTGAGCTCTCCTTTGACCAGCGCTACGAGGCAGGGGAAGCCGATGCAGGCCGGGACCAGGTACAGCAGAGCGGGCTACACACACACACACACACACACACACATAATGGGTCAGTCAAATGGGTTTTGTAGCGTTGAATGTTGCTTTATAGTCAAATAGAAACTTCACTTGGTAAACAAGTCACAGTGTAAATAGATTAAACAAAGTTCAATGTCTGAAGAGCAGATACACATGTAGAGAGTGTACAAATGATTAAGCTGAATAAAAACACCTCATTTGTTTTTGCTTTTTAAGCTGGTTATGCATTTTTATTACACAGCTTTGTGTATTATTCAATTCTGATGTGTCAATTACTTTTTTAATAAGGAACATTTTATTAATTGCAGCTTCTAGTTCCTGAAGCTTTTTTATAGCAGGGGCTATTTGTTTGAAAGGGGGAAAATGTCTGTAAGGAAACTTTAATACCATGTTATGAGACATTTAAAAACAAATAACCTTGAAAATATTGTTTTCATTTCATGGATTACACTTTGAAGAGCATCAACATCCCAGCAAGTGGTTTAGATTAAGCTTAAGATGCTTTTCTATGCCGAAAATAATAAAACAATGTACTTTTTTCAATAGTGCATGACCTCTGACCCCTTCCCTCATACCTGTGCGTGTTTGAAGGTGTGCATGACGAAGATGGTGAGGCCCAGTCCGAAGATGTAGGCCAGGAAACTGGAGTAGAAATACGTCTTGCTTTGCTTCTTCAGGCTGCAGGAAGAAAGAGAACGTTTGAATAAGAGAAGAAGCAGCAGAAGCAAAAGAAGGAGAAGATGAGGAGAGTTGGTGTTACCTGACGTCGAAGCGCAGCAGCAGAGCGATGAAGATTCCTGGGATGACGATGTCCCCGAGACCCAGCATGGCAAAGTTACTGGCATCAAGTCCTCTCTCCAGTAGATCCTGAGGAAACACCACTGGGGGAGAAAGAGAGAGAAATACAACTTTATAACTAAAAACATTGTCTGAAATGAGCTTTTTGTTGTGAGGAAAGGTCTCAGACCGGTTGTGACCACTGTGAGCTCAAAATACCCACAGCAGCGTGAGCACTGAGGCGGTGACTCATGTACTCCGAGATATTCGGGCAGGTATTCAGAACAACTTCACATACTCACATTTGATTGGTGCTTCAAAGGACTTGGCAACTGTTACCATGACGTTGGTCCCAAACACCTGGGGACAAAGAAAGAAATTGAAAAAGACAAATGATGTACAATTTTAGTTTTGTTTAAAGGCTTCTTCTCCAATTGAAGTTTGCAGATAAAACTCAACCGAGTGGGAGATGAAACTATAAAGTACTTTCTGTGCAAGTAGAGCACTAATGAATGGAAAACATGGTGGGAGGAGCTAAGACAAGAAGCCTCTACTTGCTGTTGCTGTCAGCCAATCAGAGCACTTAGTTTTTAGTCATTTAAAGAGTTAGAGTATGACTGTAAATGTAAGAGGCCCAAAACACAAATATGAGCTGAAAAGGATCAGAATAGGAGCACTCATCTTGTGACTAAACTTAAATGCTGTTATTTAGAGTGATTTAAGTCTAGTGTTTTTTTAGTACATTTAGATTGTGAGTGAATGTCTGTGAGGAAGGTAATCTCACCCAGAACACGTCGTAGACGAAGAGCCCCCCCAGCAGGATGCAGCCGGTGCTGACGTTGTTCAGGTGGAGCAGCTCCACTCCGTTCAGAGCGAACGCCAGGCCAAACAGGTTGTTGGCTATCCAGTGCTGCGATGCAACAACACACACACACAGGTTAGATGTGTTTGAGCTGCAATGATAAACTATTATCTTTCTTGATGATCTAACGCCAGGAAAGTGGATTGTATCAAAAAAATCCAAGAAAACGGCAACCCATCTTTTAAAGTCGAGGATAAAGTCTTTACCTCTGCTTTTCACTATGATCTAATGCTTTTGTTTTTATAAAACACTTTGAATTGCCTTGTGTTGAAGTGTGCGATATAAATACACTTGCCCTGCCTACTGGCATAGCAACAGGGATTAACTGCATTTAAAAAAAGTTAAAAGCACTTTATAGTGCTTTACAAGGGATAGACAAAAATTGGAATGTTGAAACTAGTAAAATATTACAAATAAAGTCACAACGATTGTTTGAACACTATACAATGACATAGATAATAAGAGGATGATGGTAGTAAAACAGTGCTGCCACACATTGTGCAGCTCTTCAGGACTCAGGAGTGTCACCAACAATAACAGCTGCTGCTATTTCATCTTTGATTTCCATATGAACTCTTTAAAGGTTACCTTTTTGAGCAGGTACCAGACTCCCACCACGCTGCTGATGATCAGGCACAGCAGGTTCTTGGTGTCAAACTCATAGTTGACTATTTCTGTAGAGAGACGGAGAGATATGTGGAGCTTTGGTCAGACTTGAATCCAAAAAAATAATCTTACCGAGACAGGTTGAAAAGTTTTTCTCTGGATTATTATGAAATAAACACTATTTTTACTAAGCTACCACTATCCCTGTTTAAATTCAAGAGTTTACTATTGGTAGCCGACTCGTAATATCAGCATATCCTTCACGTCAACTGAAAAAATCCTCAATCAACAGCAAAACATTTGGTATCGTACATCGGTGCATCCCTAGGAAGCATCCTGTCTCGGTTTTGTCGGTTGGGTGAACCAGTTATTTAATCACAGTGGAATCAAAGTAATTAAACAAATCATAGATTCCTGATCATCAGTATAAGATGAAATGATAAATGAGTGCTCTATTAACATCCTTAAACACTTTGGTATCGAGTGTTTATTCAGCAGGTCTCACCTTCTTTGGCCTCTTCGGAGCCCTGAGTGAAGAGCAGCTGGAACTGTTTGTTAGGGAAAGAAGCTGGAAAGATCCTGGACATCAGAGGGCTGACACACAAACAGGAAGAAATCATAAATCATCCAAATGTTTAAATGACTTTCTGTGCTTCTATTTGTCATTAATCACAACATCTAGTATGCATGTGTGTGTGTGTTGCTTTACCTCATGATGTGAGACAGAGCCAGCACGCCCAGGCCAAAGAAGTAGATGGACAGCAGCATGTTGATGTACTCTTGAGAAAATACCTGCGCCAGAACACATTCAACTGAGTGTGGAAGACATTACTTTTTCTTTCAATCGTTCTGTTATTAATCGTATGCATGTGAGGGCTGCTGTTTTTTTATTGTCTTAGGCTGGCTCGCGTTTTTTGCAGGTTTCCTTTTTTTCATGAACGCATGACTGAGGAATTGTTTGAGATTTGTGGAAATATTTAACTCCCAAACATCAGTTGTAATTCAGATTAGAGTAGCTGGTGGGATATTGTCATTTATTGTTTGGGAAACTGTGTTTGGTTTGGTGTTTGAGCCGACAAATGCTAAGCAGTAAAAGCTGGAGAATTGTTTACTGTACACAAACATTGGTTAGGTGGATGAACTGCATGAATCAATCATCGATTAAAATGCTGTCAGCCAATCAGAGCATCGCTTCTTAATCATTCATAATTTAAATTATTTAATAAATCAATAAAATGTACTTGGCATGTAAATGTAAGGTTTTTTTTACATTGTAAATTAATGTGTTAATTAACACCTGGGCACTGGAAACTAATTTTACAAATAGTATAATAAAATGTATTTTAATTAATTCATACATTAGCCAAATATGAATGCAGAAAATACAAGGTTTAAACTCAATAAATAGAAAATAAAAAAATCCTGTGCAGCATTTAGACGTTATGAATTAGGCTTCTAACTAGTTTTCAGCCCTACTATACTAAAATAATTACTACTATACTAGAGTATGTACTAGCATACTGAAGTATATACTACTTCTAGTCTATGCTAACATTTTAATCAGCTAAACACTTCTCTCCAAATGTTTCTTTCAGGTTGCATCACTGCTGTCTTTTGTAGGAATTTGAGATATTTCATGCATTTATCCGAAACCTCCAAACGTGAAACCCCTGCAGGTGGGCTGAGGAAACCCTGTGTTACCTTAAAGAACAGGTAGAGCCCGAACAGAGTGCAGCTGGCGATGATGGGAAACCTTGCGGCGTCTCGACTGGTGATCGTTTCAGGCATGTCCGATGCATTCTGGGAGGAGAGAGAGAGAAACAGAGATAAATAAAGGGGAAAGGGGAAGCAATGGAGGGGTGTGCTGCATTCAGTGTTAATGCAAGGGACAACTAGTTCAATCAAAACAATGCAAACAACATTTAAGTTAGTTAAACCAAGAAACACACATTTAAATAGTGATAAAGCAACTACAACACAAACTTAAATACGATTAAAGTAGTTATTATACATTAGAGCAGGGGTTTTCAAAGTGTGGGAAGGTGAGCCTCCCCTCAGAGAACATAACAGCCGCGCGCCCCCTCCCAATTATTATTGCTATTATTATTATTGTTGTTGCTATAATGCAGGGGTATTATTATCTAGTGGAATGCCCTTACCTACTGGCCTAGTTAAATCAAAGTGGTTACTTTTTTTTGGCTGGGCAGTGTAGTTTTACACAACGTCTTATTTGACTTTCTCAGGACTTAAAACTGGTTTTTGGGGGCAGACCCCCACAAAGAAAAAAAAATATTTACACACGTAAGGTCATCATCTTAACAGTTTTTTATGCTCATCGAGTCATCCGTGAGCAGAGCATCAAGTTGACATGTCTATTACAGCTGAATGCGGCGATCTTGTTCAGCAAAACGCCTCACAAACTTATTCAGATCTAAAGCTTTAGTGCGTTTTGATTCAATGCTGAGTACAGCCAAACTTGACAGTCTCTTCTGTCATTGTAGACCGCAAATACCTCATTCCTTCCGTGTACTTGAGTCCGAATGCGCCGTCCCGTTCAAATGAAATAGCCGCCAATCACATTTCCTCGCTCGCGCCAGGGCGGGGGGAGGGGTTACAAGGCGGCTCGGACATTAGGGATTTGCTCTCATAAATGTCCGATGAGCCATAACTTTTATTTCAAAAGAAAGCTGACGTTTTCTGCCAGACGCGGTCTTCTCTTTCACTTTAGGTAACTTCACTAAAAATCGATCCATGTTGCCGCTCGTATAAAGTTAGCTGAAGTTAACTAGCTAGATTTCACTGTTTCTAGTCCCACAGAATCCCATTGATTTTGAAACAAACAATTAAGGTTGAAGGAGCATGATACAAACATGCACCCTCCTTTCCAATGGACCCACAACACATTCTCTATACAAACTTAGAGGACCAGAAAATAAAAAGCATCCTTCTGTTTCTACAACCAGCTGCTCACATGTACAACCTCGGAGCACCAAAATAAACACTATACTGTAGGGTGGAACCGAATGTCAACTTTTTACATTCATAGCTTTATTTGTGTACTTTAAAAAATATTTTCCTAAGTGTTATGTCCTCATTCAGCCTAAAAAAACAAATGCATTCCTTAAAACAAAATTCTCAATTTCTGCTTATTTTCAGGTGTATATCAGTATGTAGTGTCTCTACTTTAAAGAGTCCTCTCCTGCTGATGTTCAGGTGTATATCAGTATGTAGTGTCTCTACTTTAAAGAGTCCTCTCCTGCTGATGTTCAGGTGTATATCAGTATGTAGTGTCTCTACTTTAAAGAGTCCTCTCCTGCTGATGTTCAGGTGTATATCAGTATGTAGTGTCTCTACTTTAAAGAGTCCTCTCCTGCTGATGTTCAGGTGTATATCAGTATGTAGTGTCTCTACTTTAAAGAGTCCTCTCCTGCTGATGTTCAGGTGTATATCAGTATGTAGTGTCTCTACTTTAAAGAGTCCTCTCCTGCTGATGTTCAGGTGTATATCAGTATGTAGTGTCTCTACTTTAAAGAGTCCTCTCCTGCTGATGTTCAGGTGTATATCAGTATGTAGTGTCTCTACTTTAAAGAGTCCTCTCCTGCTGATGTTCAGGTGTATATCAGTATGTAGTGTCTCTACTTTAAAGAGTCCTCTCCTGCTGATGTTCAGGTGTATATCAGTATGTAGTGTCTCTACTTTAAAGAGTCCTCTCCTGCTGATGTTCAGGTGTATATCAGTATGTAGTGTCTCTACTTTAAAGAGTCCTCTCCTGCTGATGTTCAGGTGTATATCAGTATGTAGTGTCTCTACTTTAAAGAGTTCTCTCCTGCTGATGTTCAGGTGTATATCAGTATGTAGTGTCTCTACTTTAAAGAGTCCTCTCCTGCTGATGTTCAGGTGTATATCAGTATGTAGTGTCTCTACTGCGACATGTCTCCATGCTTTAATGTTCAAAAAGCTCTTTATTTTTCTCATACTGCCTGTGCTGCAGCACCTCTTTTCACCCTGTCTGAAACCAGAGCCCAGTCTGCTCTGATTGGTTAGCTGGCCGGCTCTGTTATGATTGGTCAGGAGTATAGGAAAGAAACTCCCTCTGGAGGGAACACAGGAATTGTAGCCTTTGCAGACCATTACCTTGCACAAAAACCTATATAACGAACTACAGGAAATGGAAAACCCAAAAAGCACAAAAGGGCCTCTTTAAATATGTTTTTGTTCTTAGGTAAGACACTTGCTGATGATGTCGCTGTACACATTACATTTGAAAGAATTACGTAAATTCAACTGCTAGTTGAAACTGAAGCTCAGGTGAAACTCTCCCATGTAATCCTCCTGCTACACTCATACTGCTGTTAGCAAAGACACAAACGGATAGAGAGTCTGACAGAAGTCCCTGAGAGAGAAGCCTGAGTCCCCTCCATCTATAGTCCCCTCCATCTATATTCTCCTCCATCTACTCCCCCGAGAGAGAAAGTGGGACAGAAGAGAGGAAAGGAAGGAAGGTAAGGGAGGAAGGAAGATTTACAAGGCAAAATGATGGGAAGGAGACGAGGCCAGAAGGAGAAAATGCATTTGTGTCGCTGCATTAAAAAGGGCTCCATGTCGATGATTCTTTCACTCAAATCACTGGTGAATTCTGTATGTTGTATATGGATTGCTGCAGGGACAAAGTATTTTTGTAGGCCGTACCGTAAGGTTAGCATAGCCCTTGTTCTCTCGACAAAAAGTGAGATGTGGTGTTATTATGCAGAGATTATCCATTTAAGTAACATAAACGTTTCTTGGCAACAGAGCTTATTTTCTGTAATAATAAAACAAATCAAATGGTGTCGCCTTGAGTTAAGTGGAGCAGTCATGTGACCGTGCTGTAGTTTTGACTTCTAGGGACATGTAAGAATCATAAACGTTTGTTTGCCACAGATCTTATTTTTTAACAATATTCCAAAATCCCATTGCTAGCCCTTGTGATGCTAGCTTCCGGGTCGGCCTACAATAATGTCATCACTGCACCACTCTATTGCGAAAATAACAGATTGTTGCCACATACATGTAGAAAAAAAACCTTATTGTGATGTGTTACTGTCTGCCATTTGAATGTAGCAAGGCACTGAGGGGACTCCTCATTATCAGTCACCCACTGTTCAACAGCTCCAGTGTTATTAACTGATGTGTTAGTGCCGTGTGTATTTGGTGCTCTCAGCGGCTCTTATACTCACTCTGAACCCAGAATCGTACTCATTTTCTCCGAGCTCCTACAGACACACAGACAGAATGGATTGACAGACAGATGTGCACAGACAGACAGGAAAGAGAGAGGGATCAGTTCGGCAACAAAGAGGAGGACTGAAAGCAAGGCCCCAATAATTCAAATCAACCCAACAGGAAGCAAAACTATCATTGTTGAAATCTGAGAGGAAAACGGTTTTAATTCATTTATTTTAATTCATTAGAGAGAGGTTTGCCAGGGAATAGACACAGGGAGAATGAAGAGAGGAGAAGAAGAAAGGAGTTCAGGAGCCGGATTCAAGCCCAGCTACACATCTCAAAACATTCTCTTGCAATATTTTATCGGTTTTATTTGTTCTATGTCATATATATATATATATATATATAAAAAATATTATATATATATATATAAAAAATATTATATGTGGAAATATATTCCACATATTATATGTGGAAAAATATTGGCCACAGGCTCCTCCAACAGTGCAACACACATATATATATATATATATGTGTTGCACTGTTGGAGGAGCCTGTGACCAATATTTTTCATTGCCATATCTACACCGTAGCTAATGTGCAAATGACAATAAAGCCTTGAATCTTGAAACCACACCTGGGATAATACCTCAGAAAACATGAGAACATATGGGTTTTAATGGTTTCTGCTTTTTCTTAAAATGTGACTCTACATGCCACTGTGCTCAGTGTAAGCCTATCAACAGGCCTGTATTACATCATGACTGATCCGTCAGACGCACAGAACCTGCCAGTCATCTCACAGTGAAACCACCAGCAGCAAAGAGGATGTGGGAGTTCTTTAACCTAAAGCTAACAGGCTAAACTGCGCATGTCCGCAAAAAAAAGAAAAAAAGAGTGCAAATAATTCTTGTACACGTCACACACACACAACTGTATAATTGCTCAGCTACATTCTAGCATGTCTTTATTTTTTACACATTTATCGGTATTTAATTTGCAGTGGTCTAAAGTTACCAAGTACATTTACACAAGTACACTACTTAAGTACAATTTTGAGATTCTAGTACTTTACTTGTGTATCTACTTTGTACTTCTACTCCACTACAATTCAGAGGTAAATTGTGTAATTTTACTCCAATACATTTATTTCATATCTTTTTTTAGGTACTTTGCAGATTGGGATTAATGATGCAAAATATAATCAACACTTAAATAAGACTTTAGTTATACCTGGAGTAATATCACAAGCTACTTCTATTCTTGGCCCTTTAAAAAAAAGTAAAATAAACACAACAAGCTGAGGTGGAAGAAGTTATCAGATCTTCTACTCCAGTAAAAGTAGAAGTACCAGAGTGTAGGAATACTCTGTTAGATTGGTCCATTTCAGAATAATATATATGATATGTTTTATAATTATTGATCATTAAAGTGTCATCAAAGCTGGTAGAGGTGCAGCTAGTTGTAATGACTTTGTATAGGCTACTGCAGGGTAGCTTGTGAATTTACTCCAGGTGGAACTAAAGTCTGATTTAAGACTTGAGGGGAGTAAAAGTACAACATTTACCTCTGAATTGTAGTGGGGTATATATGGGCTCAGAACAGTCTCATAATACACACATGCACACAGAAGGATTCACACTTGTATTTCCAGATCCACACTTGTGTTTTTCAATGCACACACAAATGTGTTCCGTTTCATATACATGTAAATAAAATCCAAATACAGAAAAAAGTTTTACATATGTATTTTTGATCCTCACATATTTGTTTTCCGTTTAAATCCCCTGAACCTACAAACACAAACCGCTTTCTGTGCATGGATCGCTGTGCATTCGTGTGTGGGTTTTTTGAGACTCCCCTGACGGCCACCCGATTCGTACTTGTAATTTGTTCTATCTATAGCCAATCAGATGTCTCCTTCATTCTAAGCCAATCACATGAGCGGGTCCCCACGAGGGTATGATTTATTGCGTTCATGACACTTCATATACGCATTTTGCGCTGTCCGGAGCACGGTTTCCGCGGACAGAATTTATTTTACCGGACAAATTTGAAACTTACCGGTCATGTTTCAATAAGAAGAAGAAGAAGAAGAAGAAGAATTGTGTAGCAGAGTTTCCGTTAGCAGGTAATTACCGGACTATGACCGGATATGGCTAATAACACGGGAGTAAAAGGATCATCTTTTTTCCTCTCTCCCTCCCTCTCTCCTGACAGCCCGTCAGTTTCTCATGCAGCTCGCTAAAACTTCACTCGCGTTTATGTCCATATCGATCAGATCCAGCTCTCCTGATTGGCCTTTATAGAGAGCACCGATCAAACTATTAAGAGTGAATATCGGCCGATAATGACCGGCGGGGCTCCCCCCGTTGACAGTTCACTGTCTAGCACTGGCTTCGTAGTGCACTGATCGATTAGGCTAAGCTAACCTGTAGCTGCTCCCTCCACACTCACAACAACTTCATACAGACATAAATAAAGCAGCTGTATTTGCCATACAGGAAACACACATTTAAAACGGTTTTGCCTGCCGTTTTTATGTACACAAGCATTCATTAATGGTTCGGAAAGTGGCACTGTACCTTAATAATATAAAGGCTTGTATTTGCGTGCATTTCTTGCTCGGAAAGTGGCAATGTACTGAGAGTGGAAGTGTCCTGAGATTAGCGCCTGCAGGCAGGCTCCATGGACCTGTCAGCTCCGGACAGCGCAAAATGCGTACATGAAGCGCTACGTCATGAACGCAAGAAATCTACCCTCGTGGGGGCGCGCTCATGTGATTGGCTTAGAATTGAGGAGACATCTGATTGGCTATAGATAGAAAAAATTACAAGTACGAATCGGGTGACCGTCAGGGGAGTCTCAAAAAACCCACACACGAATGCACAGCGATCCATGCACAGAAAGCGGTTTGTGTTTGTAGGTGCAGCGGTTTTAAACGGAAAACAAATATGTGAGGATCAAAAATACATATGTAAAACTTTTTTCTGTATTTGGATTTTATTTACATGTATATGAAACGGAACACATTTGTGTGTGCATTGAAAAACACAAGTGTGGATCCGGAAATACAAGTGTGAGTCCTTTTGCGGATCATGAAATACAAGTGTGAATCCTTCTGTGTGCATGTGTGTATTATGAGACTGTTCTGAGCCCATAGGTATAAGACGTTCAAAGAAGCACACAATTGAAATATTCAAGTAAAGTACAAGTATCTCAAATTTGTACTTAAGTACAGTTAAACACAAGTATAACACAATGCCCCAAACAGAACAACAAATAAGCAACAGGTTGAAATATTAACCGTTCAAATGTTAACAGCTGTGACGATAGTTCTACCTTAATTCTGCTATTTTTTATTAGAATGAAGCACTGTTTTGAGGCTTTATTTAGCTGTTGCCTTGGCTTTTATCAGTCTTTGGTTTTATTTCAACCTGTTGTTACATTTTTGTTGTGTTTTGGGCCTTGTGGTGTTAATTTTACTTTATTTTAAAACAGTATTCCTCGAACTAAACACTGATAGAAGCCGAGGCTACAGCTTAATAAAGCCTCAACATAGTGATTAATTTGAATACAAAAATAGCAGAATTAAGGTAGAACTAACGTCACAGCTGTTAGCATTTTAACGGTTATTATTTCAACCTGTTGATTATTTGTGTTGTGTTTCAGGCCTTGTGGTGCTGATTCTACTTTACAGCTGTGACGTTAGTTCTACCTTATTTCTGCTATTTTGTCATATCAATTAATCCCCGTTTTCAGGCTTTATTTAGCTCTAACCTCGGCTTTTATCAACGTTCAGTTCAACGAATACAATTTGAAGACGATTTGAAATAAGCCGTTAGCCAGCCGTTAGCTTTTCACCAGCCAACCGGTTGAGGCCAACGGCTGACTGAAGAGACACCGGGTTAAAACATCGAGATTCTCCATCGCTGCTGCCGGAAGAAGTTACCTTTGATTTGGAGCAAGTGACGGACCGCAGGGCTCCGAAGTAGATGGGCAGCAGAGCCATGAACACCAGGCTGCCGTACGCCAGCGCGGTGCCCTCCGGACTCGCCACGAATTTAGCCGTCGCGTTGAGAGCCTGCTCGGTTCCGTTGGAGTCTGTGTTGTTCAGGGCCTCCAGGACGGCAGCGACGGCCTCCGGGATCTGCTCCGTCTCAGACATGGTTCAGAAGCGGGCTGTGTGCTGTAGCTGAGACACGGGCTGGAAGAGGTGGAAGAACCGCTGGGTGTTTATCATTCATCCACAACAGTGATGCTGCGGTAAGGTAAGGCCACGTTTCCTAAAACATTGAGCAAAGAGGAGGCGGACCGTGAGAAGAGGTCTCACTCTGCAGGGTTTCCGTTAACATCACCGACACATTTTGATAAATGTATTTTCTTCTTCTTCTTTTTTGAGTTATACGGCGGTTTGCATCAAGGTTAATGGTGCATTGACACCAAATATATGTTGTTGTATGCAGAGGTGGAAGAAGTACTCATAACTTGTCAAAGGTGGGAAGTAACAAAGTACATTTACTCAAGCACTGTACTTAATTACACTTTTGAGTGTATCTAAGTTGAGTATTTCAAATTGTTTTGCTTCTTTATACTTCTACTCCACTACGATTCAGAGGTAAATTGTGTACTTATACTCCACTACGTTTATTTTGTACCTTTAGTTACTTTGCACATTTGGATTAAGGATGTGAAATATAATCAACACTTAAATAAGACTTTAGTTAGTACTTTAAGAAGCCTTACAAATGAAAGCAGTTTATTTACGTAAACATTTATTTTCAGTTCAATAAAGAAAATAAAGACATTTGTTTTCTTAAAAAAAACATGTTAGTGTACAGTTGTACTTTGCTACACCTCTCTGTAAGCACAGCATGAGGAGAATAGGTTGCCATTGTTTGCTAAAATTGATACCTTGGACCAAGGTACTTAAGGAAAGGTAAATAAAAGTAGGTTTCAAGCCTGAGTTCCTGCTGAGAAGACTGGAAATGCCTATTGCACATGAAAAAGTTATTTATTGTGGGAACATTGTAAAATAGCCACCTTATTTCAAAACCCACATGCAGAGATATCTTTAACTACGCATCTCCCATTTCCCTCATCCCAGTCCAGACTCTGAATGGATGCCGAGTAGTTCTTTATCTTATGTAGGCTACACTAAAACCATGCGCTTGATCAGAGCCTAATGTATGACCATCTGAGCCTGTCAACAGGAAGCTGTGTATGTTCAGCTTAAGTGTGATGCATCCTAACCAAATTAGAAGATCTCTACATTAAGGAAGTAACGTTTCTTCCTCGTTGGTGGAATACATTTTGCTGAGAATTCAAGCAGCTGCCAAGGGGCATGATTCTCGCTTTAGAGAAGCCATGCATTTTCATCCAAGGCATAGTGCAATTAATAGAAAAGTGTTTTGCATTGTCATTTAAGCAGGCTATCCTTGGTAAGACCAAAAAGTAGCCTTTTGTTATGGCTCGTTGGTCTTGGGGTATGATTCTCTCTTTGGGTGCGAGAGGTCCCGGGTTCAAATTCCGGACGAGCCCAAGATGTCTACATAGGTGTGGAACAGGTTCAGTTTAGGTAGCAAAAATGGTTCGTTGGAAGCAATGTTTACTTAATAATTTGACCAATACTGTGCCCTGCTAGAAACCTAGTGTTGAGTTGGGGCAAACGATGATCAAGGCTCATCTTCTGTGTAGAGAAGCCATCAATTTGTATCCAACCTGTGTTCATTGAGGACAAAGTGCAATTCGTGGAAAAGTGTTTTGCATTGTCATTTAAGCAGGCTATTGTGCGGAAGACAGAACAATTGCCTTTTGTCATGGCTCGTTGGTCTAGGGCAGTGGTTCTCAAACTTTTTTCAATAATGTACCCACTTTGAAAAAGAAATTCAGCCAAGTACCCCCTGATCAGCGCAGAAACAATGTGGAAGAAAAGCCTATATAAAGAGGGAGAGTACAGCGCTGCACCATCGGTGTCTGATTTATTAAAACAACAACCTTGTAACTGAGAAACACTTAAATGCTACATTTCAAATGTTTACAATCCATCAATAAATTCATGGCAAACCAATTTCAACATCATGCAATAACACTAAGACAACATTGGTTGCCTTGAACTGATCTTTTTAATAAGTTGTACTTACAATTTAGTGAGAAACATGGGCTTGTGCTTCACTGAGGATCATGAGGCAAACTGCAGTTATTACACTTCGCGTTTTGAATTATGTGTAACTCTGTTAATATAAAACCCACACTGCTCAAACTTCGTTACTTTTCCTAAAATTGGTATATTTATTTATTTATTTTGAGGCGTGGGGAATGAAGAGAAACACATATATGAGCATTTTATGAGCATGGGATTTTGACCCCTCATATAAACATATGAATAATAGAGTGCCACAGTGACGCGTCCTAAAACCCGGAAGTAAGCTGCGCATGGGTTCCTTCGACAAAAAAGCAATGGGATTTCTCCATAGAATTTTTGAAAATAGCTCAAAATAAGGTCTGTGGTTGACACACAATTAAGAGATGGATCACGTTTTGTTCAGCCGGATAATCTCCACATGTCTACCCTACTTTTATAATTTTCTAATCATAAATGTAATCGATAGATTTATGATTGTGGCACTCTATGCTGCGCTATACTTTGCGGTGTACGCCGTTGCCAAGCAACGCTTATTGTTTAGGTCCTTTGATAAGCAGGCAGTCATATCATTAACTAGAACTAGCTAGATCTGATAGATTTGGACATAAACGCGAGTGAAGTATAACCGGACGCGAGAGAGAGAGATCCGAGATCAGATCAGCTGCTTCTGACGGAAAACACGCAGCTCTTCCGGATCACAGCTCCCCCGCTGTGACGGACCGGTGAGCAGAGCAAAATACACTAAGAGTTAGACCTAACACACTTAGCTAGTTTATCTACTCTGGAACAAGCTAAACTAGTTATAAATATATGTATTCTTTACTGTCGGCTTATTACAGGTTCAGCGAGCTGCACGAGACTGACGGGCTGTCAGGAGAGAGAGAGGAAAAGAGAGCACCCCATTTATTTTTCCCATTTTATTATCCAGAATTACTGTAAACTTTTGAATGAAGTAATGAATCTACTATTAGTAGTTTGTTTAAATGCATTACTTATGTTGTTTTTTTTCATTAACATCAAATAAATCTCACGTACCCCCTGCAGTACTCCAACGTACCCCTAGGGGTCCGCGTACCCCCATTTGAGAACCACTGGTCTAGGGGTATGATTCGCGCTTAGGGTGCGAGAGGTCCCGGGTTCAAATCCAGGACGAGCCCAAGACATCTACATAGGTGTGGAACAGGTTTAGTTTAGGTATCAAAAATTGTTCGTTGGAAGCAGTGTGTATTTAATAATTTGACCAATACTGTGCCTTGCTAGAAACCTAGTGTTGGGTTGGGGCAAAAAATTATCAAGGCTCATCTTCTGTGTAGAGAAGCCATGCTTTTTCATCCAAGCTGTGTTCATTGAGGCATAGTGCAATTCATGGAAAAGTGTTTTGCGATGTCATTTAAGCAGACTATCGTGCGGAAGACAGAAAAAATTGACTTTTGTCATGGCTCGTTGGTCTAGGGGTATGATTCTCGCTTTGGGTGCGAGAGGTCCCGGGTTCAAATCCCGGACGAGCCCAAGACATCTACATAGGTGTGGAACAGGTTCAGTTTAGGTAGCAAAAATGGTTCGTTGGAAGCAATGTTTACTTAATAATTTGACCAATACTGTGCCCTGCTAGAAACCTAGTGTTGAGTTGGGGCAAACGATGATCAAGGCTCACCTTCTGTGTAGAGAAGCCATGCATTTTCATCCAAAAACGTTTGAACCTATATACTATTATAACTACCTAATATTCATAATAGTTTTGAAATGAAAGACAGAGAAGAGTGACCTCACTTGGTTGTATTGGCCTGCCATGTTGTTCAGGAGCTTCACAACCTCCATCGCTGTTTACAGTGGCCAGGTCTGTGTGTTTCTCTCTGCAGTATCTCTGTGCTTCAGACATGGTCTTTGCTTCATAAACAAAATGGTACTGACGTTCAGCATGTGAGGAGACAGCGCTCAGCCCTGTAGAGACACAGACATTTTGATTAGATTCAATATCAATTACTGAACCAACTTCTCCAAATTACATGAAATGTAAACTGTAAATTAAATAAATTAAGTAATTGTCAGAGGGAAACCAAAATAGAAAGTACTAAAAATTGCTAATGGGATAACATATCTTAAATACAAATAATAATTACCTGAAAGAGCGATGATGATCAGAAGAACTTTTTCCATCATTGTGTCTTCCCTGTTCTTCTCTTTCGGTCTGAGACTAGATGTGCAGCTGTTGACATTATATAATAGGTAAAATGTAAAGTGAATATGGAACCTATCAACTTTCTCCTGTCAGACTGAGAGTCTCAGATAACCTCAGCTCAGGTGAAGTAAAGGACTCTCTCAGTGTTTAGATAGTTAACTTTAGTCTAAGTTATCTCAGTGGGTCTCAAAACGGTTTGGTCACGATTAATTTAAATAAGTATTTCTGAGGCACACGTTTATATGATCATTATAGGTATAAAAAAAATAAGAGCATAAATGAAAAAAAGGTATGAAATACTTTATGACAGTAAAACAAGAATACAGTTTAAAAGGGGAGTGATTTGTAAAATATCCATAAAGAAATTGAAAATCTGTTTACAGGTCTGTTTCATACTGTATGGGTGTTGAGAGATGAGATCTCTTAATGTTGCTCTCAAAGTGCACCAGATTGATGCATTTAATTTCAATATTAAAAAAAAAATCTTCCCGGGGGACCATGCCCCCGAACCCCCCTAGAGGATGTTAGGTCCGCCCCCACTTGTAAAAAAATAGCACTTTACCCCTGCTTAAACCTATATGCGGTGAACTGATTATTGAGCCTTCATTGTAACAGTCGCGGGTACACTGTGTACGTGCTTGTGGGGAGTTTTGCAATAGAAAATTAAATTGTAGCGCCCGGGACATTAATGGGGAAACCCTAAATGTTTGAGCACCCTCTATGAAACATCAAGCTACCCCACAGCATCCCCCAAAGAAAATATCTGGCGCCGCCACTGAGCAGTGGACATTAAATATTAGGTAAAATGCAAAGTGGATACACTCTAAAAAGTCATTCAGGGGACCTTTTACCACCACTTAATTAAATGCATGGTTGCAAGATACCAATTTCAATGAATTGATTTAGATAAACATTTTAAGTTGCAAACATTAATTTATAAGTTGTGTTAATTACATCAACTTAATTAAACTCGGATTTCTGCGTTAATTGACTTAAAACTAAATTCAAGTTGTAGTAAGTAATGCAATTGGCTTGATAACTTAATTGTTCTACACCTTGAGTTAAGGATTTCAAGTCCACTCCTACTTAACATGCCTGGACAAGTTCCGACAGTTAAGACAAATAGAAATACTACACAAAGGACATGTTAAGGTGAGTGTCATCTTTTGTCATTCAAATACAGTAGATAGCCTTAACTTTGCACTGTATAGGCAAATTGCTGTTTGACCAAAATTAGCAGCCTTTGAACTGTGACTAGTTCTGTGAGAGGGTACAAAGTAGTAGAGGCTACTGTGAGTGTAAAAATACTTTGGTTACTATTGTGATATAACTTTTTATTAAAAAAAATGATTGGTGAAGCAGATCAAGGACATGCTTCTTGAGGTAGGATCGTTATTTAGAGTTGTCATTGAAATGCAAGTTGTTGGCAGTCACCCATTCAGAATATATTAATTTAGGTAATTTCTCTTTTTTTCCTTTTTCAAAAATAGCACAATACAATTGAAGTATGCAGAGAACTATAGCCATCCGCTGCCTTGTTGTGTACCTTGGAGAAAAAGAAGAGGACCTTTTCAAGGAGTTTAGCGAAGTAATTAAAAATCTTGAAATAAAATAAAATCCATGTACAGGACAAAAGCACTGCTCTCTGTCAGTTACATTTTGAAGCATATTGCACTTTTGGCCACACCCCAATCAATAATATCTTAGCAACGTTCAGCATGGATAGGTGTTGACAGCAATGGCATGGGAAAAGGATTGTGTAAAATTTGAAAAGTGGCTTCTGCTCTTCACTTAACTAGTTCAAAGAGTGTATGGAACCTGCTAAAAAGATGAGAAGGTACACTAAAACTTGCACGGTTGTGTTTGACAAAATCTGTCCACATACATTTAAACACTAGGCAAAGTACTCAAAACCACCTCTGTGTGTCTTCAGGACCACATTGCCATAATAACACACATGCAGACTCAATAGGTGAAAACAATACTAGCGTCGCTTTAGCAGCTGGTAATAATGGCTCTGAATTCGCTAGAGTGACAGTTTAAAAAGTATGCAATTACCTAATTCATTATCTCTTATGCGCTAACCTATTATTTAATGTGCTTCAAAAGGACATGAATATCGCCATCATCAATGACCGGTCCACCCCAGGATCTGACCATACGATCGCAACCATCGTGGTCGAGGGAAACAAATTAATGAGCAAGCATTCTGCGTTAAATTTGTTCATACTGTTTAAAATAATGACTGTCGGCAGTGTAAACATATTTGTTACATCTTTTGTCAAATTGATGTGTGTGATCTGCAGATTGGTGGCCATTGAGAGTTTGTTACTGTAGTTTTAAAAAAACTTTACAGATTTTACATATTTGGCACTGGTTTTAAATATGCAATGGCCTCTAACTTCGATGTGATGGCAGCATTTATTTGCTGTGTCCCCATTTCCCACGGTAATATGGCTAATGTGTTTATTTATTATTTGTGGAGCAATTTAAATTTGTGTTATTTATCTTTTTTTTCTCAAGATTTAAATGAAGCTCAGTGCAAGTTCTTTCAGGAAGACTGGGTGTATATACATTCACTCCGCAGCTGCATATAATCAGCTCATCACAGGCGTTCTCTTTAACCTATTACATTTCACCTCATTCTCCAGCAGCCAATCACCGTGCTGCAGCCAAACTTTAAAATGGTTCTCCTCTCTCCTGCAGTCAGCTGTGATTTCAGGTTTTCATGCTGCCGCCAGCCTCCTCCCCATCCACCTCCTTTCATCATATCCAGTGCCAGGAGAGCTAATCCAAAGACCTCATCACATCTCCTCTTCATCCCATCTCCTCATCAAATCCAGATCTTCAGCATCATCGCCAGTGTCTAGACCCTGGGGGGTTCCCTATATGCTCACGGCTGCATTTCCCCCTTTAGATATACGATTTCAGGATAGGGGTTTAATCGCCAAAGACTTAAAGTGGACCTATCATGCTATATTTGAATAATATAGTGTAGGACCATACCTATATAAGGCATATTTATACTTTTTTTTTTCAAAATACCAAACAGATCATGCATTTTAGCCATGCCTCATTTTGCTCAATTTGACATTTTTTAGCTCTGTTTTTGCAAGGCCAGATTCTGTGAGAACAGCACCATCTACAGGCCTGGCATATGTACTACAGCGTCTCCAGCGCTTTCGAACGGCAATGGCCGTGGCTGTCTCCTCCTGATTGGTGGAGTTGGCCCAATAGCCGTAGCGCCACCGTCCTGACGTCAGGACAGTGTTCAAATCTGGAGCAGTTTTTATCAGATCCGTTGCAGCCCCTTTTTTAGAGATTTGGGTATGGAGGAAAATAGAGAGGGTTGTGTTTTCTGACACTTGGTGAGTTCCCTGGAACACCGGGGACACATATTCATGTATAAAAGACGTACAAAAGTGCATTTTGCATGATAGGTCCCCTTTAACTTGAAGTTTATATTCTTACCTGTGACATCAAAGCAGACCACCCTGAGGGGGTGATTACAATCCTGATCACCCCATGTTCCACCAGAATTAACAAATGTGCATTGTTCATGGTGCCAGGCGCCTGGTTCTCCAGACCCCCATTGTTTGAACTCGATCTTCCCCGGTTCGTAGAAGCTTGGGTCTGACATCGACCACTTCCAGCTGTCCCGGTCATCGTACAGCCCTATCCAGGCTGACTGAAAGCAACATTCATTGTGTTAATAAAGAATTAATCCTGATGTATTAAGGTCTTTCTAATACAAAATGTCCTCCTTTTGTTACCCTCACTCCTCAGAGTAAAACTCTGTCTGGTGAAATACAACAGGGGAGGTTTATACTAAAAACACTTCATACTCTACTACATTTAAGAGGGACATTTTGCACTACAGTTAAGTTATAATGCTGCGTTCACACCGGACGCGATGCGATGTTTGGGGGCGGCGCGATTACATGTAAAGTCAATGCAGAGACGCGGACAGACGCGAATTCGCTCCGACGGTGCGCATGAAGCGGTGGACGCGGCGCGAATCACGCGATTGAGGCGATTGAACGGTGCCGCGTTAAACGCGAGAGTTCAATTTTTTCAACTCGAGCGTCAAATTCACGTGACGCGTTCTCGCGGAAGCCAATCAGCGGTGAGGATCTCAGCCTGCCGTCACTGACGTTCAACCACACAACATCAGCCGTTAGCTGTTAGCAGTTAGCACACAGAGCTCACAGCTCCTCATATCTGTTCAGAAACTGGACAAAAGTTAAACAAGTACAATTCATGGCGAATACAGTCGCTGCTTTATTTATGTCTGTAGGCCGTTGTTATGAGTGTGGAATGAGCATATACAACGTTAGCTTAGCCTGGTCGACCCGATCTTCATTCAGAAAACAAGCATTTTAAAAGGTTTTTCGCCTGCCGTCTTGTCTGCAGACTTGTCAAAGCATTAATTCATGGTTTTTACTAACCGGTATCAGTATGTTGTTACTTCGGCATCATTTAGAAACGTGTATTACAATTTAATCACGGTAAAATATGTTCATTTGTTGTAGTTGTAGCTCCCGAGCCAGCGCGTCTTGTTTGAATGATGCGAGTAAACACAGCTGGCAGCCGCGGTGAAACTCCAGCGTTTAGAGCGATGCGATAGGAGCGATTAGAGCGAAGCGAATATTCGCATCGCGTCCGGTGTGAACGTAGCATTAGTGTTTTATGTAGGCAAAGCTTTAAAAACGTTTGAACCTATATACTATTATAACTACCTAATATTCATAATAGCTTTGAAAGGAAAGACAGAGAAAAGTGACCTCACTTGGTTGTATTGGCCTGCCATGTTGTTCAGGAGCTCCACAACCTCCATGCTGTCTACAGTGGCCAGGTCTGTGTGTTTCTCTCTGCAGTATCTCTGTGCTTCAGACATGGTCTTTGCTTCAGAAACAAAATGGTACTGACGTTCAGCATGTGAGGAGACAGCGCTCAGCCCTGTAGAGACACAGACATTTTGATTAGATTCAATATCAATTACTGAACCAACTTCTCCAAATTACATTAAAGTTAAACTGTAAATTAAACAACTTAAATAATTGTCAGAGGGAAACCAAAATAGAAAGTGCTAAAAATTGGTAATGGAACAACATGCAGTATTTTAAATAAAAATATATAAAACTCTTGCCTGAAAGAGCGATGATGATCAGAAGAACTTTTTCCATCCTTGTCTCTTCCCTGTTTTTCTCTTTTGGACGGAGACTGTAGATGTGCAGCTGTTTACATTATACATTAGGTTAAACATTAACTAACATTATGCATTAGTTAGCTGCACTTTCGACTTAATGCAAAGTGGATATGGAACGGACAGCTTTTTTATATCAGGCTTATTTATTTACATTTGAATGGAGGTGCCAACTAACAGCGAATCACTGGCTGGGTGGGCGTTACCATGAGTGACTACCGGTGTTTACCTTTCCGGTTGTTACAACATGCATTTACAAGGAAAGACCAATAGAGTAATATGGGCGTAGGACTGGTGATACACAGCAGGAAAACCAAATTCATGCCCATCAACAAATAAAATACAAAAAGTCTGAAACAACACTGTTCATTTCATATAATGAGACACTTTTACAGCTTACAAGCTAATACATTTAAAAGATCACAAAACCGGTGTAAGAATTATTGCACTAACTTTGTTGTGTCCTGTTACTGTAGCCAGAGGGCGCTGTAGGACAGAGAGTTGATATAGGATGCCTGAAGGTGGAAGTTGGATAAAGAAGAATAAAGATGGTGTAAAGGATAGCACACGTGCCTACGGCTCATACTTTCTACCTACTTGCATACCTACAAAATACCACAAACTTCCAGCTTTATACTTTGGGTATTCTAGTAAAACATTTGTACATGCTTTAATGTTACACAAACTTTATTTTCTTTGTGTCTGGATACCTGTTTCAAACGCTTTGTTTTAGCTGCTCAAAAGGATTTTACGTTCAAGGCAAAGGCTTAAGTCCATGTTCACCCTCTGATGGCGTTTACTGCTAACCAAAATGAACTGAGACACATTCAGAATGTTTAGAGCTGCTTTACAATTAAAAAAGCTTTATATTTCGAAACATCACTTTTCAAAAATCACTTTATAGTCTAAAAGGCATTACCTATATTTAAAAAAAAAAAAAACGTCTTGTCATCCAGGATCTTGCATATATTCCGGCCAAACATCTCTCACCAAAAATCTTCTAAATGTCACCCAACAACAGCAATGAAAGGAGGCTTGTTGAATTGTGTTGTTTGGTGTTCTTGCTTTAGTAATGGCATTCATTCTCGCTACATTAGAAACCTGTCTGTGATGCAGCGCCCTGTTATACTGCGTTAATGTATCATATTAATGGTTTCTATAGCCGTGACGTCATAATAATGCTATTAGGAGGTGGATTCATTCAGGTAGACACTACTGAAGGCCTAGGTGTGAAATGCACGGCCTGTTACTGTTTTCAACATAACTCATTTGAAGATATTGTGAGACAAAAAACAATAATTAGGATGCAAATAAAAAAACATTTTTGTATGAAATTTCATTAAAGGTCATTTTTATTATTGATAATTTAATCTTGATCAGATTTCAACAAAAGCCAAACATTTTATTATTATCTCCCACCGGCCAAGCAAATACATCCAATAGTAAAAACCCTAAACATATTAAATTCATAACCATATATAACAAGGAAAAGCATTACATTCTCTATCTTCTATCAAAATGATCGTAACTAATTGATTATTCAGATCATTGTTGCAGCTGAATTCTGTCGCATGAGGTCTTTGAGGAAAGAAATACACTTTTCTCTGATAAAAGCCGACACAGCAATTCAGCTTTAGAGCTCATCCCTCTTCTCCTCCTCCTCCTCGTGGAAGACTTGTCCATCCGGCTGCTTCCTCCAGGCCAGTTGGACGTTGTCGTCCAATCCCTGGGCCCTTAGGTTCTTTTTCGCCTGAGACACAAAAACTCATTTTCATTATCGCTCCAATAAAAACAGATGATTTATCTTTAGTTCACTCATCTGAAATGGTAGTTGTTCCCCTTATTTCTTCCAGTGTAAAGGCTTACCTCAGGTTATGGAATAGTATGTGTACATTTTCCTAATGCATTTGGTGGCATGTGGCTAAGTTTCTGCTATTTACTTCTGCACATATGTACACGTCTTCTTACTAAATGCTTGGGTCCTGTTATTTGTGGCCAAAGTATTGAATGTATAATGGATATAGAATTTCATTCATGTTCATCTTGGTCCATTTCATTCGTATTGAAATTCATTTACTACATTTTCTTTTGTTGAATTAATTATACATTAATAGTTATTTATTTGTTTCCTACCTCTTTTGTCTCTTGTTCTCATGTCATGTGAATTTCCTTTCTGGTGATTGATGATTTTGCATAAAAGTAGAAAACATGATTTACCTCCACCAACATCGCATCCAGAAAAGCGGGGTCGTTCAGATCCACACCGTTTGGGTTCTCCACCTTCACCTTTATCACTTTCATTGAAACAGGCACAACAGGCACAACAGGCACACTAGTCTCAGGAGTCGTAACAGGCACAACAGGCACACTAGTCTCAGGAGTCGTAACAGGCACAACAGGCACACTAGTCTCAGGAGTCGTAACAGGCACAACAGGCACACTAGTCTCAGGAGTCGTAACAGGCACAACAGGCACACTAGTCTCAGGAGTCGTAACAGGCACAACAGGCACACTAGTCTCAGGAGTCGTAACAGGCACAACAGGCACAGCTAAAAACACAAACAAACTTCATCAGTCACAACATTTATGGTGTCTTCTTTTTCAGCAGACTCAATATTATAGCTTGCTTTGACTTAGCTGTGAATTTTACTCACGTCCGTAGCAAATGAATGGTTTCTCCACTCCACAGTCCAAGTCCTCCCATTCTCCAGAGTTGTCGAAAGCTGCAGCCACACAAGCTTTGAGACCTCTGTGGTTAGGTTCATTTACTTTCCAGTACTTGAAGGAGGAGTTACTTCCATCGGACCACTTCCAGGGGTCTCTGTAAAGGCCGATCCAATAATAATACCCTCCAGGTAACAGCTCAACAATCTGCTGGTTCTCTGTCAGGTTTCTCACACTGGCCAGGTCTGTGTGGTGTTCTCTGCAGTAGCTCTGGGCCTCAGTCCATGTCATTTCGCTGTCAATGAGGACAAATGTTGCATTCGGCCCTGAAAATGGACCACAGAGAAGCTGGGTAGAGGCACCACAACACTGATCATTTCATATAATGAGAAATGTTTACAGTTTACAAGCTAATACATTTAAAAGATCACAAAACCATTGTAAGAATTATTGCACTAACTTCCAGCTTTATACTTTGGGTATTCTAGTAAAACATTTGTACATGCTTTAATGTTACACAAACTTTATTTTTCTTTGTGTCTGAATACCTGTTTCAAACGCTTTGTTTTAGGAAAAAATAATAGTAACTTTATTGTTCTTTATGTTTTTTGAGTACAGCTCTAGTTAGATAAATAATGGCATGTGAATGAGCAGACTGCTGTCACACATGTTTGGTGCTAACAGTTATCAGATATAACATTCAAATGATGTGTTTGCATATAGTTAGGAAGGCCGGAGCAGCACAACAATAGAACAACCCTGAGGCTAAACCTGACAATACATCTGTTCTCTTTGGATGAGATAAAACTCTGTCAAAATACCACATTAAATAAGTAAAAGCCCTGCATTGAAAGGATTACATAAATAAAATGTTGTTATTAGAATCATGAAAATGTACTCAAAGTATACAAATTAAAAGGGTACTCAATGCACAAAAGTGGCTTCTTGAATCTTTTTGTTTTGATATAATTTGAAGAACCAGCACCTTATCATGGTGGAGAGGTTTGTGTGCCCCGATGAACCTGGGGGCTGTGTTGCCTGGAAACTTGTGTTCCTGGTAGGGTCTCCCATGGCAAATTGGTCTCAGGCAAGGGGCCAGATTAAGATTGGTTCAAAGACCTCATGAAAGACAACACAAGAAGTGAGGATACCCGGCCCGGAGGAATCCTGGGGTCCCCTTCTGGAGCCAGACACAGAGGGTGGTCTCGTCGGCGATTGTCTGGTGGCCGGGCTTGCCAAGGAGCCTGGCCGGGCACAGCCCGAAAAGGCAACGTGGGCAACACCTCCCTCCGCTTCTCCGTCCCGCGGGCCCACCACCTACGAGAAACAGCGATGGGGTCGGGTGCGCTGCCAGAAGGATGGCAGGGAAAGCAGAGGGTCTCGACGGACCAGACCCGAGCGGCAGAAGCTGGTTTTGGGGACGTGGAACGTCACCTCTCTAGGGGGGACTTATGTGTGCTTATGCACCAAACAGCAGTTCAGAGTATTCGGCCTTCTTGGAGGGCCTGAAAAGAGTCCTGTATGGGGCTCCTGAAGGGGACTCCTTAGTCTTGCTGGGAGACTTCAATGCACATGTTGGCAATGATGGAGACACTTGGAGGGGCGTGATTGGGAGGAACGGCCCCCCAGATCTGAACCGGAGTGGTGGTTTGTTACTGGAATTCTGTGCTAGTCATGGATTGGCCATAACAAACACCATGTTCGAACATAAGGATGCTCATAAGTGTAGGTGGTACCAGAGCACCCTAGGCAGAAGGTCCATGATCGATTTTGTTATCGTATCATCGGACCTGAGGCCGTATGTTTTGGACACTCGGGTAAAGAGAGGGGCGGAGTTGTCAACTGATCACCATCTGGTGGTGAGTTGGGTCGAGTGGCGGGGGAAGCCTCTGGACAGACCTGGTAAGCCCAAACGTGTAGTGCGGGTGAACTGGGAACGTCTGGAGGAGTCTCAAGTCCAGGAGGCCTTCAACTCACACCTCCGGAGGAGGATGAGCTTTTCAGGCATCCCTGTGGAGGCTGGGGACATTGAACCGGAAACAGTACCGAAGGAGTGGCAGACCGGGGTGGTGGTTCCCCTTTTCAAAAAGGGGGGTCAGAGGGTGTGTGCCAATTATAGAGGCATCACACTACTCAGCCTTCCCGGGAAAGTTTACTCTAAGGCAGGGGTTTTCAAAGTGTGGGAAGGTGAGCCTCCACTCAGAGAACATAAGAACAGCCGCGCCCCCCCTCCCAATTATTATTAGGGCCCGAGCACGGAGCGCTAGGACCCAACGGCATCCTCGCACAAAGTGCGAGGAACCTATTGTTCTTCGTGGTATTATAATTTTTCTGCTGGCGTTTCGTGTTTTTGAGGCCTTTAGGACGCTTACAAAGTTGTATAATTTTGCACGGACGCCAGGACTGGTGAAAACTACAATATTCTGGAGTCAATGGGTTAAATATTCCAACCTGCTCACTAGCGCCACCTATCAAAATCCCATTTCGGAATACATTTACAAAGTCGCACCGTAACTCCCAATGACCTGAAATGTTGCACACATATCCGGGTGGACCTGCTCTACAAATAATCCTCTTTTCCTCATCCTACATTTTTTTTTATTTAAATTAGCATAATGTTCAAACAGTGAAATATTCACTTAAATTTCAATTTTCAGTTTTTCAACACCAAACTTCGTATACAGCATCGGTGGAGGGTCAGACACATTACCGTAGAAAATGAGCATGTTAGGACGATAAATATTGCCGCTGTCAATCAAAACGTACTCGCAAAAAGTTGGGGCTTAGAAAGAAATGCTCATAACTCATCAACAATGTATCCAAACATCACAGATTTTGGTGGATAGGTTCAGTCTGTTTTAGGGAATAGGCACATCAAAGCATTTTCATTTTGGACTATAGGGGGCGCCAAAAACACCACCAATTTATAACTCAAGAGCGGATGGACGAATTTTTTTTAATTTGTTTTACACATACTCTGGGGGTGACAACAAAACTGAGATTTAAAGTGGACCTATCATGCTATATTTGAATAATATAGTATAGGACCATACCTATATAAGGCATATTTATACTTTTTTTTCCTTCAAAATACCAAACAGATCATGCATTTTAGCCATGCCTCATTTTGCTCAATTTGACATGTCATTTTTTAGCTCTGTTTTTGCAAGGGCAGATTCAGTGAGAACAGCACCATCTACAGGCCTGGCATATGTACTAAAGCGTCTCCAGCGCTTTCGAACGGCAATGGCCGTGGCTGTCTCCTCCTGATTGGTGGAGTTGGCCCAATAGCCGTAGCGCCACTGTCCTGACGTCAGGACAGTGTTCAAATCTGGATCAGTTTTTATCAGATCCGTTGCAGCCCCTTTTTTAGAGATTTGGGTATGGAGGAAAATAGAGAGGGTTGTGTTTTCTGACACTTGGTGAGTTCCCTGGAACACCGGGGACACATATTCATGTATAAAAGACGTACAAAAGTGCATTTTGCATGATAGGTCCTCTTTAAAGTGTCGCAACAAATGCAGAATGTGGGCGTGGCCTATACATTTTTTTTAAATTGCGATAGCATAAAATGAGCTTCGGACACAAAACTTGGGACACACGTCAGAGCCCACGACCTTTTCGAGAATGTAAAAAAAAAAAAAAAAAAATTCAAAAAAACTGCTCAGTAGCGCCCCCTATTGTGTGGTAGTCAACTTCACGAATTTTGGCACAGACATTCCTCATGGAATTGCGGACATATTTGTATATAGCTTCCATTAGCCCCGCCCCCCAGGAAGTCGGCCATTTTGAAAGATGTGCTTTTTTTTCATGCATTTTAAGCACATTCTTGCAAACTCCTCCTAGGGGAATGATCGGAAAAATTCCAATCCAGGACAAGTTCAGCCCCTATCCAATATGATACTTAATTGCGGAGCACATTTTTGAAAAATCACTCGTGGAGGTCGTAAGCTAACAGCGAATACACTATTTTTGACGATTTACATGTCGCAAATTGCTCCAAACTGCTCACATATACTTTTTCCCATATTCACGAAACGCTGTATCCACATTGATATTATGATTGCAAACATATTTCAAATTACTTTTCATTAGCCCCGCCCCCCAGAAAGTCGGCCATTTTGAAAAATGTGCGTTTTTCATGCATTTTAAGCACAGTTTTGCTAATTCGTCATAGGGAAATGATCGTAAAAATTCCAATCTAGGGCAACTTAAGCGCATATCCAATGGGATGCTACATTGTGAAGGAATAGTCGATCGCTTTAACATGGAGCTCGTAAGCTAACGGAGAATGTACAATTTTTGACCATTTATATGTCAGATACTACCTTAAAGGGGACATATCATGCAAAATGCACTTTTGTACGTCTTTTATACATGAATATGTGTCCCCGGTGTTCCAGGGAACTCACCAAGTGTCAGAAAACACAACCCTCTCTATTTTCTCTAAAGTGCTGGAGACGCTGTAGTACATATGCCAGGCCTGTAAGTGGCGCTGTAGTCTGCCACAAAAGCAGCGAAGAAGACTTCCCGCCCATAGTTACCATGGTTACCCTTCTGTTTATTCTCCGCTGTGGCTTTTTTTCTCCCTCCCCGAGGCAAGCGTTTGCTCCCGCTGCAATGCAATCCCTCCCCGTCGAGGCAAGCACTGTAATTCTCTCCGGTTAGTTCACCAGCAGATGACAAACACCCACCTCTCCGCCTCTTCCAAGGAACGAGGGGACCGTGCGCAGAGTTTCAGTTTCAGTTTGTTTCGCCGGTCAAGATGTCCGTTAAAGTTTAAATCTTCCGAAGAAAAATTGAAAAGTGCCGGTCTAAGGTCTTCTTTGTTATTTATTAAGCTTTAAAACAAATGAATAACGACTCTATATAATAAAACACGGAGGACGGAGATCTCTTTTTCTCCCCCTCTTCTGACAGCCCAGCAGCTGATCAGAGCACGTCTCCCCTCTCTTGCAGGGGGGCGTGGTCAGCAGAATCAGACCCGTAGACAGCAAACAGCACATAGAGCGAAATGAGGCATGGCTAAAATGCATGATCTGTTTGGTATTTTGAAAACAGAAACGTATAAATATACCTTATATAGGTATGGCCCTACAATATATCATTTAAATATAGCATGATAGGTCCACTTTAAGCTACTGAGACCCGCCTGTCTGCCCGGCACATCAACTCTCACACACACACACAAACAGACACACAAACAGACACACACACACACACACACACACACACACACACACACACACACACACACACACACACACACACACACACACACACACACACACACACACACACACACACACACACACACACACACACA